ATATGTAATATTAATAAAAAAGATTACAGCTACTCAACCAGCAGCTTGTATACTGTAAATGCCTATTATGTATTTTCATATTTCTTCAACAAATCAAATTTTACCCATTCTTCCAAATAAATTAATGGAACCAGTATTTTATAATTGTTAGCCAAGTTGTTCCKTAACTTTATTCCTTGAACTGAGGTACATCTCTCTTTCAAGTTAGTTAGAATTTTGGGTTCCACAAACATTTCAAATCCTTTAAGATTATAAATACTTTCCCTCTTAATGAAATGTGATCGAATGTTCAAAGGTAATGTGTTTTTATGAGCCCTGTACATATTAGCAAAACCTTATAATCAACCAACTCATGAAACTTCAACAATTTCAACTGACAAAATAATATATTTGATGGGTGACTATGTTGTTGGCTGGCTATAATTCTTATAACTATTTTTTTGCAAAATAAAAATAGACTTTGCAAATGTTTTACATGCCTTTCCCCGGACTTCAACACAATAAATCAAATGTGGAACAATTATTGCATGTTTTACACAATGTCCCAACTTCACTGGAATTAGGGTTGTACTGTACATTTACAGCCTTCTATTTTGCACCTTTTCCAACTTTTTAGAGTTTTTTTTCCCTGTCATAACATTTTATTTTCCTTCCTCTGATTCTTCCAGGTGTTGGTTGTGTTTTTGGTGGTCTTGGATGCCTTCTTTGTGCTGGCGGAGCTGCTTATAGATCTGTCTGTCATCAAACTTGAGCATGACCACATTGCTCCTGAGGTGAGACAGAGAAATATGAAGAGGTTTGATGAGTTGGTCACCCTGAAACCAATCATTTGTTGAAGCACCTTTGGATTTATTTACAGTCTTTGTAATGAAGCATGGACAGTCAATGTCAATCTGATTTATATTATTTATTATTACTTAAAACCTTCAGGTCTTTGACAGAACGTTGAAGATAAAGCTGAATTTCATTTTTTAAGCGATCCGAAGCACATATCCAGATCAACCAAAGAACATCTTCACTAAAAGAGTCTGGACCTAAATTTGATTTTTAAAAAATCCATGAAGTGACAACGCCCCCTTCTTTAATACCAAAAGTTATTTTATGGTTTAAACTTCACAACTACACACAAAATATTCAGATTCATCATGTTCCCACAGGGGTCTCCACTTCATATTCAGCATAAACTAACACAACCACAAATGTCTGACCAATTATAAAGGTATTTTGTATTCTGAGGAGGGTGTTGAGTTCAGTCCAGGGGCTTGTGACATAAAACGGCTCAAACTGTATCAATTCTGTTGTCCACRACTTCTTCCTTGTATTTTTCTAGTTGATMCAAGGTTCTCTACCCTTCTGTCCTCATGGTGTGTCCAAAAAAGAATGRATGTCCCAGCATGACCTTTTTGTAAAGAGATCTTTTCATTTGCTCTTGTTAACACTTCTTCATTGGTGATTCTGTTGATGTATGAGATTCTCCTTAAGATCCACATTTCAGCAGCATTTATAAAGTTACCAGCTTTTTGGTTCATGGTCCGAGCTTCATTTCCATATTTCAAAATGGGAATGATGCAACACTCCAGCACTCTGTTTCAGGTCTTCATAGAGGAGCGTATGTTTKTCACAATCTTTCTACCACAGAACTCAAATATTTCAACCCGTTGACTGGAGCCTTTCAGTTTGATGTTACACACTGGGATATCTTTCTGCTTTGTGATTATCATGGTTACTGTTTTATTAATGTTGATGCTGAGGCCAACTATCTCCCTTGTTGGTAGCAATGAGGACTGTCATCAGCATAGTGTAATTTAACCTTTTGACCCCCAACACTTATGTCAGGCATTCCTTCTACAGCTCTGTCAACACAAACTCACTGTATAAAGGAGAACAGATCATTTATAAAGGATTAAAAGTGAAGAGTTTAAAGGTGTGCACAATTTATTGCACTTTGTGTTTCTTCTTAAAAAGTTTTTTTTGCTTTTGCAATGTTTTACTGTGTTCTCTGTGGGTTCTCCTGGGGTACAGAGGGTGTAGATGTTTTCCATCTGGTGTTTTTTGTTTGGCAGGTGTTCCACTACCTGAGCCTGGCCCTGCTCACCTTCTTCATGGTGGAGCTGATTGGGAAGCTGTTTACGTTTCGCCTGGAGTTCTTCCAGCACAAGTTTGAGGTGTTTGACGCTCTGGTGGTGCTGGTGTCCTTTGTCCTGGACATCGTCTTCATCTTCCACGAAGACGCCTTTGATGGGATGGGTCTCCTCATCCTGCTGAGACTCTGGAGAGTAGCCAGGATAATTAACGGTCAGTGTCACGCACAACGTGCAGCCAGCCTCCCTCTTCCTSTCTGGGACAAGTCCAGGGATCTTTTTCTACTATGTGAGAGAAACTGGTCCTAGTTTCAGCTGGAAATGACTGATTGAATCTGCTGCAGGGATCCTAGTGTCRGTGAAGACCAGAGCAGACCAGAGCATCCACAAGTTAAAGGAGAGCTACGACCACCTGGTTCAAAGATCCACAGAGCTACAGAAGCACAATGATGAACTGGTATTTGAACCTTTCTGTCATCTCTGAACGTTCAGCTAGATTGAGGAGTGATGTTCATCTAACTCCTGCTGTAAAGGACRGGGACACCCTGTCCAACACTCCACCTGTGTGTGACTTCAGTATAACAGTAAGCTCATTTCTCAACACTGAGTTTGTTCCTGTGTGTGTTTCAGGTTGTAGAGAACCAGAAACTGCAGGCTCTCCTGAAGAAACACGGCATCAACTTTGAACCTTCTCCTGAGGAAACTCAACGTTGACATTTTGACTTCCTTCTGAGGAAACATCGACTTTTGATTTCCACTTTAGGAAACAAAACACTGATATCCTCCTGAGGAAACACAATATTGATTTCTAACTTCCTCCTGAATAAACATTACATTGATTTCTGTCCTCCCAAGGAAACTACAGAGTTCAGACAAACGCAACGTTGAAGCTTCTGTCTTCCTCCTGAGGAAACATAAAATCATCTTCTGATTTCTTTTAGAGCTGTCTGTTCATCCAGAACCTGGAGCTTTCTGCACCTTTGTGTGAGATCTGTTTTCATAACTCAACAGTTTACTGTAATCTGTCACTAGATCCATTAGTGCACAGTGTATGAATAACTATTATACAGATACTGTATATGAAAGTGATGAAGGTTGTACATCAGAGATCATTTAAACAGAAAATTATTTTCACATTTGTCCTGAATGTTGTGTAAAAGTAAACAATTTTATATTTCATAGAAAAAAGACTTTATTTATTCAATCTTACTATAAAAACTTTATACATTATGTACACAGTACACATAGTGACAGAGTGAAMAATCAAGCCCTGAATGGTGTGAACTGTTCAAACAAAAGGGAAGAAAAAGTCAAAGGGCAGTTTAGCGTTGATGCTGGGCATGGCTCTGTAACCAGGACGAGCTTCTGCAGACACAGGAAGGAAGGTCACGGAGCTACTGATCCACACGATGCTGCTGCCCCCCGACATCAGGACCTGCAGGAGGACAGCCAGAATAAACCGCTGCTTCTGATAGCTTCACCTTCACTCACCTTCACTAATAATCCTCTGAACTCCAGATCATAAAGCTACTTACAACTAAAACACATTCAACTAAAAGTAAAAAAAATGGCCTAAATGAACTTGAACCTAAAAATCAGAAAGTCTGAAAACAGTCTGTCAGAAACRCAAAAAAATCTAACCTAATGCTTGTTCAAAGTTTAAACCATAAAGCATCAGGTTTTCTCTATTTAAACTCATCCACAGAAAACCTTTATGCCAGTTTTAGAGTAAAGGCATCTTCAGTAAATGAAGTTGAAGCTGTTTTAGTCAAACCTTTTAAATGTGAGGTCTGTGTGGAGAATCACACTCAGCTGCGACYACATCCTGTTACACCTCAATGTGTAAAACTGAGTTTTTATATCCATGTTTGTGTTTTAATAGGCTGCTCAGCTGTGGCAGCCATCTTGAATGGTTGACTCCAGAAGTTAGTCAGTTGTAGAGTTACATTCAATAATTACTTTTGAGTTTTATTAAAATTCATCTGCAGCTTCTTGACATATTTTACTAACAGACAATGTCAAAAACGGTTTTGTCTTTGGGCTGTGGGTGGGAAYAGCTGTGTCGATCACCAACAGGACGTCCCACACCAACAACAACTCAAGTGTATCTGCCAGATTCACTTAAATAAAYGTATAAGTTGAAGACGTACATGAACTACAAAGAAATAACTGTTTCTCTCAATAACCAACATTTTCACAAGTGTACAAAACATACACTTTCCAGAGGGGGGGATAACTTTTCTAGTATAAACACCTACTTTGTCAGGACCAGTAGTCTTATTGGGGACCAAAGCCCTGTCCTCATATGGTGGGTTTGAGGGTTAGGTGTTTAGGACTAAGGTGTGAAATAAGTTTAGGGTTAGGATACAGAAATTAAAGGAAGTCAACGTGCGTGTGTGTGGGTGTGGGTGGGTGTGGGTGTGTGTAAGGAAATGAGCTTAAGGTGAATTAAGCTTCTCTCACATCTCTCATACACAAGTTATGAGGAAAACTTTTACCAAGGTATTTCTCATTACTTGTTAATTTCTTGACTGTGCGAAGTGAAAAGTGACCCAATAAGTGAACATTCAGACGAGTTCAAGTTGATTCCTAAAACACTATGCAATCATTTATTTACACAAATTGAACAGATCATAAATTACACTTGATTGTGGTTTTTCCTATAACAGCGTCAGAGTTAAATGAGATAAAACTCGCGTCCGACTTTCAATCCACATTACTCAGATTACTTATATAGAACAGTAAAACGTCAGTTCTGATGTTAACAACCAAACAATTTTACTGGCAATTTAGCTTAAGTTTAGGCAAATTAAGAACAAGGAAAGGAAGAAAGTAAGATTAGTATGTTACTACGACTTTTACGTGTGGGTCAACCGGAACTGCACGTCTTTTCTAAGCTCAGGTTCCACATGACACGTCACTCCGAACACATCAGCTTTACCTGGTGATGACTTCTTAAGGCACCCTCGGGGTAGGAAACTGGCTCGCCTCCGATCAGTCAGGGAACTGATGTCGGCTCGCTTACCGGTCATTGGCGAACAGGTGTTTTTTCAGGTAACTTTGCGTATGTTTCAGTCCAAGCCAGAAAAATTCAAGCTATATCCGGTTTCTCCTTCCAAAATAAAATCTCCCCTCTGGAGTTAAAACATATGCTTTGCTTTATGCCTCTGGTGGGATCACGACAGCGTGTCGGACCCATGGCAGTAAAATCCTTCCGAATTGGCTCGTGATCAGATTTTCAGCCAAAGCTGAGGTTTGTCCGGAGAGAATCACAGCTGTCTTCCTAGGTTGGAATCAGGAAGAAGAGTGTGTCGCTCAAAGCCGTCTGGGTTAGTAAAGAACGGACGACTTTGGTTCCGCCCTCAGGCTTAGAGATGAGTCAGCGAAGAAAGATAAGAGACTTGCCATGCCGGCGCCTTTCGAGGTTAAAATTCTGTGGTTGTTCAACAACATCATGATAACCTATTTAGCTTACTTCTGATAGACTCTAAGAGAAATTACTGCAAAACATTTATGATGATTAAATGTAACATTTCTGTTTATAATCAGTTCTGAACCATTCTCTTAGTCCAGGTAAATGAAAGATTTTCTCAGGAAAAATCCACAATTATATTACTGTGTTCACAGTAAAATAAAAACTGATTTATATAAAAACACAATGAAAACATTGTAATCAGATTCTCTGATTTTTTTACCATTATAAATCTAAGGCACGATAAAAGAAAAGAAGTGATTCCACTTTTCCTGTGATAGTCATTATCATGATTTAACAAATGCATAAACATTCTTAGTTAAACACACACGAATCACGAACAGAAGAGATTGTTCTGTCCATTATCTGATTAAGAGAACTGAGNGCTTCTCCCACATCTCTCATACACAAGGTTATGAGGAAAACTTTTGCCAAGGTATTTCTCATTACTTGTTAATATCTTGACTGTGCGAAGTGAAAAGTGACACAATAAGTGAACGTTCAGATGAGTTCAAGTTGATTCATAAAAGACTATGCAATCATTTATTTACACAAACTGAACAGATCATAAATTACACTTGACTGTGGTTATTCCTATAACAAGCGTCAGAGTTAAATGAGATAAAACTCGCGTCCGACTTTCAGTCCACATTACTCAGATTACTTATATAGAACAGTAAAACATCAGTTCTGATGTTAACAACCAAACAATTTTACTGGCAATTTAGCTTAAGTTTTGGCAAATTAAGAACAAGGAAAGGAGGAAAGTAAGATTAGTATGTTACTACGTCTTTTACGTGTGGGTCAACCGGAACTGCACGTCTTTTCTGGGCTCAGGTTCCACATGACACGTCACTCCGAACACATCAGCTTTACCTGGTGATGACTTCTTAAGGCACCCTCGGGGTAGGAGCTGGCTCGCCTCCGATCAGTCAGGGAACTGATGTCGGCTCGCTTACCGGTCATTGGCGAACATGTGTTTTTTCAGGTAACTTTGCGTCTGTTTCAGTCCAAGTCAGAAAAATTCAAGCTGTATCCAGTTTCTCCTTCCAAAATAAAATCTCCCCTCGGGAGTTAAAACATACACTTTGAGGCTTAGCCTCTGGTGGGATCATGACAGCGTGTCAGACCCATGGCAGTAAAATCCTCCCGAATTGGCTCATGTGATCAGATTTTCAGCCAAAGCTGAGGTTTGTCCGGAGAGAATCATAGCTGTCTTCCTAGGTTGGAATCAGGAAGAAGAGTGTGTCACTCAAAGCCGTCCGGGTTAGTAAAAGAACGGTCGACTTTGGTTCCGCCCTCAGGCTTAGAGATGAGTCAGCGAAGAAAGATAAGAGACTTGTCATGCCGGCGCCATTCGAGGTTAAAATTCTGTGGTTGTTCAACAACATCATGATAAACTAGCTTACTTCTGATGGACTCTAAGAGAAATCACTGCAAAACATTTATGATGATTAAATGTAACATTTCTGTTTATTATCAGTTCTGAACCTTTCTCTTAGTCCATATAAATGAAAGATTTTCTCAGGAAAAATCCACAATTATATTACTGTATTCACAGTAAAATAAAAACAGTGATTTATATAAAAACACAATGAAAACATTGTAATCAGATTCTCTGATTTTTTTTATACCATTATAAATCTTTAAGGCACGATAAAAGAAAAGAAGTGGTTCCACTTTTCCTGTGACAGTCATTATCATGATTTAACAAATGCATAAACATTCTTAGTTAAACGACAAATGAATCACGAACAGAAGAGATTGTTCTGTCCATTATCTGATTAAGAGAACTGAGAGGTTCTCTTCCACGGTTAGAATGACTGTCATGGCCTAAATAGAGTTCAGTTTGTGACAGTTCCTGTCTTCTTGTCAGGCCTGTCTGAGGCCTGCTTAGAAGCAGAAAATCTTGTTTCTTCACTCGAGGTGACCCCTACATACAGTATGTGTGTGTGTGTGTGTGTGTGTGTGTGTCCACATCACCACAGGATCTTCTGTGAGTCATCAGGGGTCTTACCAAACTGCTGCTGTTGGTCTTGATTATTTCTTTGATGCTGACAATCTGAGCTTGGGGGTTCACCAAGGCTCCATATTTGGTCCATTCAATCTCTAAATGGCGTGACAATGGGATGTTACAACTTTGTGCATCCTGTAGAAGACAAGCAGACTGTTGGACAGAAGCATCACACACTAAAAGATGAACATTCWGTAGAACTAAACACAATAGAATCAAACAGTCCAATCAATATTTAGTCACAAGTAGTCTGACTGTGAGCCAGTATCTGACTGAGAGCCAGCATCTCAATGGGCTGACAGCTGCAGACGAGCTGGTTAACTGCACTTATGAGRGAGACTTTAAAATATYTCAAAACATTTGTGGGRGTTCTYGATAATCCTTGCTTGAGTCACAAAGGCTTAGTCTTATTGCCTGAACTTTGAATGTGTTCAAATTGTTCGCTACAGATTTTCACTAAAATAGTCAGAGTTATTGTGGGTCTCTCTAACTCTTTTCAATGTAGTTTCTGTACTTCTGAAGTATTAGAGCTGAAACCTAACACCTGCAGGGAGCTTTCCATATGACAGAAAACATCTGATGCTACAATCCCAAATGTCCAGGTCTAAAAAGACACACTGATGCTAATTGAATAAAAACTGGTCAAAATGTACTTATCTTTATTTCTAAAGTACAATGTGCTGTTATGTTTAACAGCTGGTTAAAACACCATGGTTGTTGGGTTGCAGTGGAATATTTTACCAATTTTCTCTGTTTTCTCTCTAACAGTTATCCATCARTTGCAGCCCAGTAAGATATTAACTTTACTGAAAAACACAAGATTCTAACAAACACTAATTTGCTAGAGGAACTCTGCGGGGGCATGAAGCAGACCCTCTTCCTCTGTGCTCTCACCATGGGACTGATGCTGGACTTGATTTGTACCCAGTCCAAGGGACTGTCTAATGAGGAATTTCCAAAGGAAGCCACATCCAGAGGGTAATCTGGTCCTCTCAGAGCCTCCAGAAGCTGCCGGGACACCAGGGAGCAGTTTGTTATATCCTCCAGCCTGCAGGGACACATACTGTAGGTCACCATCACAGATCTCTGCTGCCTCTGCAAATAAARGCTGAGAGAAAGTATGCTTTGCCTTAATGTGCAACCAGAGACAGAGTCCAGTCCAAACAGGACAGGAGAGCGCTGGTGTGGACCCTGCAAGCAGTTCTGGTCCTCAGCAGAGACATGGAGCAGGGACAGTGTGTCTCTTAGTTGGATGCTTCTGGTGATCCCAGTGATGGATGCTGTTAAGGTGGAATGCTGCTTCTTAGAGCTCATCAGGACATCTTAGTCCCTCTGAAAAGGCATGTGGAATCATTTTATATCTGAATAGTKGAGATATGATTTAAGTGTTTTAACAAACGTCGACTTTGATGATTAAAAGATAAGCTTTTCTGTTGTTTATAAACTAAAAAGTGATGTTTCTTTCAATACATGTCTGTGTTGTGTCTGCAGCATTCAGGGACAGAAAGCTGACTCAGCTGGACCTGTCTGCTGCTGTCACACATGACAACAGCTTCATGTTTGATAAAGATGACTCCTCTGATATTCAGCTGCAGTCCCTCTTCTCTCAGAAGTTAAATCAAACAACAAACTGTGTTGAAGCTGCAGCAACAGCTTCCCTGTAYGACACAACCAGGCAACATATTGTTGAGTCCTTGTGGACAGAGTATCATTTTTTTTGACTAGTTTAAAACTTAGAATAAAGAAAAGCTCTTATAAAACTTGTGGTTCAGTAATGTTAAACATGTGATATGTACAGCAGCTGTTCTACATTAACACTCAGATGTTTTGAGTAAATATGATGACTAAAAAACATTTCCTAAATGAAAGTTCCAGGTACATGCAGGGTTTCWTTCCTCTTCTGTCATGTGTCTTGTGTGTGCTCTGACCTTTGGTAGCAGTGTTACACAAATGAAATTTACAAAAATGATGTGATGATGTGGAAAACTAACGTTTGAAACATCTTAAACTTTTTAAAAGTTCAGCAAACAAACTCTTTTTATACAGTCCAGATATCACAGCATCTTTTGTCACGGGAACTCCCAAATTCTTCCAGGTCTTTATGAAAGTATATCAACATTTTCCATCGATCGTCCACTGTTTCTCAGCAGAGAAAACACTCTTCTTTGAATAAAGGATATTCTGTTGTTCTTCTTCCTGACACAACAGGAAGTCCAACCACGTAACCTGGGTTTCCACTGAACTGGACCTCCACTTCTCCACCAGCCTCCTTCCAACAAGACAACATTATGTAAAGTTAGTGCTAAAGTTTATGCAATGTATTTTCAGTCAAAATACTTTGTTAAAGTTGTCATTAATGACTAGACTGAGTCAACTTTACCTCTATATTTAAAGTTGCAGACAAATACAGAGATGACAGAGAATKAATCCTACAGATGATTCATATTTAACTTAGAATATTAAAAATAGTTTAATTTCCAACATGATGTGTTAAAGTGGATGTTATGGAAATATTTATTTAACAAAGACAGAAATACGTGGTCCAAGAAAGAAGGTACTCCGTGGAATGATCAGCTGAGTTTTATTGCAACAACAGGAAACACAGAGAACATAGAGACTGCCCCTCTGCTCCTGTCTCTGTCTCTGCGCTTCTGCCTCTGTGTCACTCCTGATGCAGTTGAGAGGCCTCATATATACTGTATACTGTTTAACAAACACCATTATATCATCTTAGCAAGATTTCATACTAGGTCAAGGGAAAACACAAAGATAAACACAAGTGATATCTAAGAATGACTGTTGTTAGCAGATCTTGTTCTGACTTTAATCATTCTAATCTACAGATAAACAGCATGTCATGAAAACCTAGGTCATTAAAGGATGTCATGAATTACTGGCTTAAACCTAAAAGTATTAGTTCCATTACAGTGGACATTCAGTTTGATGCTTTTAAATCCTTCATCCATCCATCCATCCATTTTCTTCCGCCTATCCGGGGTCGGGTCGCGGGGGCAGCAGCTTCAGAAGGGAGGCCC